GGTCCCATTACAAACTCCATTTTACAGAGAAGACAATGGAGGCTCAGAGAGGTTAAGGAACTGCTCCACTGTCACACAGCAGGACCAAGCGGTGAGTTGGGTCTGGTGCTTACACCACAATATCATCTCAAGACAGGGAACTGTAGTCGTGGGTGGGAGTGTGGAAAGCCCCTGGAGGCCAGAGGAGGGTGAGTCCTGCCCACTTCCCTCCTTTTCGCCCCTCCCCCAGCCAGCTGGAGGCTTTCCACAAAGGCAAGCTGCACAAATTCCCACATGCAATCGAACATTCTGTTCCTGGAAAGAGACCTGCTAACTTGACAATGCAAACCTCTGCAGGGGACACAGAGGTGGAGAGCCTGGTTCAGGCCCCTGCACTCTGTGCCCTGACCTTCTGCTGCCCAGGTTCATGCACAGGTGTGTACCGCCCGGCTGCTCCCAGCTGGGAAATCACACGCTCCAGTGGAAAAAACAGCTAAGGATAGCTTCTCGGCTCCTTCAGGTGACGCACACCCACACCCAGCAAGGTCACACCGGCCCGGCCCCTGGAAGACATGGTCCTGCTTCCAGGAAATGCCTAAAAGCAGCTGCCCTTTGGCGAGTGCTTCTGTGTGCCTGGCACTGTGCTACGGGCTCTCTATACACTGTTTTTCAGCCCTAACCTTCTGGCACAGCTATTCTTGTTTCATCAGCTTCCCCTAGTTACAGATGATAAAACAGGTCCAAAGAGCTTAAGTAACTTGCTTAAAGTTGCACCTTGAGAGGGGTGGAGATAGGAATTGAACCTGTGTGTGCCTGCCTCTTTGTCCAGGGCTCTCTTTAATAATAATGACAATAATAATAATAATGGCAACAAGAGCAGCAGCAAATCCTCTGAGCTTTACACAGGTTAGCCTGCTAGCAATGCTATCACAGATGAGCAAACGGAGGCAGGAAACCAGAGCACCTACACCTTTTCCACACCCAAAGGCACCATCCTCAGCACCTGGATTTTATGAGTTTCCTAACTTTCCTAGCGGCATCCATTCGCTACCTCTCTTGTCCATCCCCAGAAAGATATGCTGGATATTAACCTCTCCTCGGACAGGTGATTTGCAAATATTTCCCCCCAGTCCTCAGACTGCCTTTCACTTTGTTGTGTCCTTGGATGCACAAAAGTTTTCACGTTTGAAGTAGTCCCAATATGTCTATTTTGCTGCCTGTGCTTTAAAAAAATAAACAAACATATATATATATTATTGATTTCAGAGAGGAAGGGATAGGGAGCAAGAGATAGAAACATCAATGATGAGAGAGAATCATTGATCAGCTGCCTCCTGCACGCCCCCTACTGGGGATTGAGCCCACAACACAGTCATGTGCACTGACCAGGAATCAAACCATGACCTCCTGGTCCCTAGGTCGTCACTCAACCACTGAGCCACGCCGGCCAGCTGTTGCCTGTACTTTTTTATGTCGGTTCCAAGAAATTATTGCCAACTCCAGCTCCACGAAGCTTTCCCTATGTTTTCTCCAGGAGTTTTATAGTTTCAGATCTTAAATCTAGGTCTTAAATTCATGTTGAGCTAATTTTTGTAGATGGTGTCAGATAAGGGTCCTTATATCAGGTTTTCCTAATACCATTTGTTGTAGACATCCCTTTCCACATTGGCGCCCTTGGCCATATTAGTGAGGGTTTATTTCTGGGTTTTCTCTTCTATCCTCTGGCTCATCCGTCTCTGTGTCTCTGTGCCAGTACCTCCTTGTTTTGATTATAGCTTTTGTAACATATTTTTATTTTTATTGATTTCAGAGAGGAAGGGAGAGGGAGAGAGTTAGAAACATCAATGATGAGAGAGACTCATTGACCGGCTGCCTCCTGCACGCCCCAAATTGGGGATCGAGCCCGCAACTCGGGCATGTGCCCTTGACCAGAATCAAACCCGGGACCTTTCAGTCCGCAGGCTGACACTCTATCCACTGAGCCAAACCGGCTCCGGCTGTAACATATTTTGAAATCAGAAAGTGTGAACCACCAACTTTTTCAAAATTGTTTGGACTGTTTGGGGTCTCTTGAGATTCTGTATGAATTTTAGGATAAATTTTTATATTTCTGCTAGAAATGCCATTGGGGTTTTGATAGGTATTGTGATGAATCTGCAGGTCGCTTGGGTAGTATGGCCATCTTAACAGCATTAAGTCTTCCAATCCACGAACATAGGATGTCTTTCCACTTATTTGTGCCTTAATTTCTTCCAGCATTATTTTGTAGTTTTCACTGTACAAGTCTTTCACCTCCTTAAGTTCATTGTTTTTAAATTTACTTCTCTGATTGTTCATTGTTAATGTGTAGAAACACAATTGATTTTTGTATCCAACAACTTTGATGAATTCTTTTATTAGTTGTGTTTGTGTGTGTAATCTTTGGAGGTTTTTTTGGTTTGTTTTTTTTACATATAAGATCATGTTATCTGCAAACAGATAATTTTACTTATTCCTTTCCAATATGGATGGTATTATTCCTTTTTCTTGCCTAATTGCTCTGGGTAGGACTTCCAATACTATGTTGAATAGAAGTGGCCAGGCCCAGCTGGTGTAGCTCAGTGGTTGAGCTTCGACCTATGAACCAGGTCATGGTTTGATTCCCGGTCAGGGCACATGGTTGTGGGCTTGATCCCCAGTGTGGGGTGTGCAGGAGGCAGCCGATCAATGATTCTCTCTCATCATTGATGTTTCTATCTCTCTCTCTCAAGATCAATATATATATAGACTTCAGATTCATATATATTTGCCTCTGATCTGAGAGAAAAAGCTTTCAAGGAGAAATTTGTAAAAAATATAATTACAATGTCATGGTCACACCTAACAAAAATAAGACCATTTTTAGAGGTTTTTGTCTCAAAATATCTTTTTGATAGTTTTTCCAAATCATATCCAAATAAGCTACTTTTTTTTTAAAAAAAATGCTCACCTGAGGATATGTTTTATATATATATATATATATATATATATATATATATTGCTTTCAGAGAGGAAAGGAGAGGGAGAGATAGAAACATCAACGATGAGAGAGAATCAATAATCAATCGGCTGCCTCCTGCACACCCCACACTGGGAATCGAGCCATGACCTCCTGGTTCATAGGTTGACACTCAACCACTGCCCCGCTCTGGCCCGGCCTGAAGATATGTTTTTACTGCTTTTTAGAGAGAGTTGGAGAGAAACATCCATGTGAGAGAAGCATTGGTTGGTTGGTTGCTTCCCAGGGATCACCAGCAGCCTGGATATGGGACTTGACTGGGAATCTAACTTGAAACCTTTGGTGTCTGGGACGATGCTCCAATCAGCTGAGCCACCCGGCCAGGGCACGTTTCTGTAGGTGTGAACCAAATATTGTTCCGGGAGGAAAACAAGAGAAAGTGAAAACGGTGTCATTGGCAAACGAGACCCGACTGCACATAGAGACACAAAACACTCCCACGCCCAGCACCGTTTTCAAATAATTTATTAGGAATTTAAAACTGGAAATAAATCCTGGAAAAAGAAGTTACAGATGTGGAGAGAAGAGACACCGGAGGGTGGTAACTTGCTGGCTTCAAAACACCATGTAACATCTTTTAAAAAAAAAATTCCCCAAACAAATCAGAAAACGGAGTTCCAGGGCCCTGAGCCCATGGATGGGCTGAGAGGGGTGGGGGTGGGACGTCACGGGAAGGGAGAGCGAAGTCTCTCATGACTCAGCTCGAATGTGTAGAAAATTAAAAATAAAAAACAATAAATTGCAGCTTCTCTTTTATTAGGAAACATTAAAAAAAAAAAGCCACGAACAGCCGCGCATCTCAGTAACAAAGATTATTGCTTTGTGTTCTCGGGGCTAATAGGTTAAGCACCTCACACAGACAATTAACTCTCCAAAGGGGTCTGAGGTGGGGACTGAGGAGGAGGGGGCGCAGGTCCCAGCCTCAGGCCTGGGGGGCGGACACAGAGGGGCGAGGGGGCCTCGGCTCGGCCACACCAGCCTGTTCCCCAAGTCAGGCCCTGAGCCTCTTTCCTTTGAAGGGGGCTCTGGGGTGAGGGGCTGACAAGGGGCTCTGGCCACGGGGCCTTCCTGGTGAGATACTTCAGTGAGAATGTGGGGGTTCCCTGAGAAGCCCTTGGCTTTCCCCTGGGTCCGCCCCTTCCCAAGTGCTCCCTGATGCCCACTCCCGGGGCTCAGAGCAGAAACCATGAGGCCCGACCTCGGCAGGGGCAGGGGAGCCTTTGGAGAGCTAATTTCTTTCCAGCAGTGACTCCGGGCGAGCCCTTCCCTTCCCTCGCCCCTCGCCCCCACACTGGGTTTTCGGGGTGAGCAGGCCAAGGCCTTGACCCCTAGGGCCTGAGAGAACGGGCCTGCCTCGGCCAGAGGAGGCCTGCAAGCTTACAGTAACGGTGTCTGAGGAGGGGACAGAGACGGGAGGGACCTCTGCTGGGTGGGCAGGCGCTGCCCTCACCCCAGGGGTCTGGGCTGGGGGCTGCACCCGCAGTATTTACATATGATACAGGACAGGGGCCCAGGGGCTCGGCCTGGCCTAGTCCTCTCCGGCCTGGGGAGGTGGCCAGGGGCCCACCCGCCAGCCGTTTTGTTCTCAGCTGGTGGGGGCGCCTGGCCCTTGGCCCCCTGCGGCCTGGGGCTTCACATTCACAAACCTAGAAATAGTTTAAAAAACAGTTTCTTTAAAAAAAAAAGGGGGGGGCAGAGCAAAGGAGGGAGCATGAGAATAGAAACTCGGTGGCGACCCGGCCCTCGCCCGCTCCAGCTGCACAGACGGAAGCCTCTGCTGGGTCCCGGGGCGCCGCCGAGGGAGGGGGGCGACCGGCTAATCCAAAATAAATAAAAGCGGGAGGCGGGGGGGCCAGGGCGGAGGAGGGGGTTAGTAGGGGAGCCAGGCTGTCTGGGGGCAGCAGGGCAGGGGCCGGGCCCGGGCAGGAGTGGGGGGCAGGCAGTAGCGTCCGAGTCGCGGGGAGGGGGCGGCGGCTGCGGCTGAGGTGTCCCGGCCCCTCGCTGGCTCACTCCTGGTCCTCAGTCAGCTGCAGGGGGGGCGCTGAAACACAGGGAGGCTGTGGGTGCCCCGAGGCGTCCTGCCCCCGTAACCCTTTACCCCCCTCTTCGGGGCCCCCAGAACACAGATCCCCCCTCCAGGCCTCCTTCCCATTTCCCATCCAGGTGAGCTCTGTTCGCATGCCTGGCACTTGGGGTTCCCAGTTGTGGCAGCTCCTTCCCTAGATTGGAAGCGGCTGGATTTATTCCAGTGTCACCTTCTCAGAGATGCCTTCCCTGAGCCCCTCACACAATCTAGAACGATCTCACTGGCTTTAAAAAACGATGAACTTGTTTTAGGGTTTCAAGCCACTTTTTTAAACCCTCACCCGAGGGTATGTTTATTGATTTGAGAGAGAGAGGAACAAGGATGCGAGAGAAACATTGACCAGCTGCGGCCGGATCCGCCCGACGGGGATTAGACCCGAAACCTGGGTGTGTGCCCTGACGGGGAATCAACCCAGCAGTCTCCAGGACGACACCCCAACCAACCAGGCCACCGGCCAGGGCTCGCTGGTTTTTGTCTGTTACACGCCCCCGTTCCTGGAATACTGCTCAATAGCTGTTTGAGTGAATGAATAAAACCCGAAAGGTCACTGGCTCATGTGCCCCCCCCCCCCCCCCCCGCCCGGCCATACACTGCATGTTGGCTCTGTGCCGTGTGCCCCAGTCACAGGACCTGCTCCAGCTGCTGAGTAACGCCCGTGTATGCACACACCCACAGTTAGCCACTCGCCTCTGGATGGGCAATTCAGTTATTTGCAGTTTTAAAAATAAATGCCTAGAAGTGGAATCAGTGGGTCAAGGGGATGAATGTTTAAAGTGTGGGTAGAGCCCTAGCTGGTTTGGCTCAGTGGATAGAGTGTCAGCTTGTAGACTGAAGGGTCCCAGGTTCAATTCCAGTCAAGGGCACATGCCTGGGTGGTGGGCTTGATCCCCAGTAGGGGGCGTGCAGGAGGCAGCCGAGATCAATGATTCTCTCTCATTAATGTTTCTCTCTCTCTCTCACCCTCTCCCTCTCCCTCTCCTTCTCCCTCTCCCTTCCTCTCTGAAATCAATAAACATATATTTTAAAATAATAATAAAGCCTGGGTAGGCACTGCCAGGCTGCCTTCTGGGAACCCTGAACCTATCTGCACCGTTTCCCTTACACCCTCATCGGTGCTGGCGTCAGCAATCTGTAACAGATCTGTGCCTGCTACTGTTTTCAGTTCCTGCTACTGTTTTCAGTTCTATTAGCGGCTTTTCATGTTCCTCGACCATTGCTGGTATGAAGGTCTGACCCCCACTGGACGAAGGGCTCCATGTCCCAGGCTGGGCTCCCGGGACCAGCCTTCCCAGGTCCATCCCCGCCCAAGGCCCCTGCACCTCCTCACCTCTGGCCACCTGTCTCCTGCTTCAGTGGTACCCATTGGTGAAAGCTGTGGCAATCAAGGGGCCCTGGGAAGACAAGAGTTGACTCCTAGGTTCGGGGGAGCAGAGAAAGCCCAGGCCTTCTCTCCCGCAGGACACAGAGGTGCGGCTCAGCCCTTCCCGGCCCTGCCCGCGTTCCTCCCGCTGCAGACCCACTGAAAGGTCCCCCAGGCGGCCGGGACTGCGTGTAGCCATGTAAGCAGCGCCCTTGTTAAAACGAGCCCACCCTCCCTGTGCAGGAATCAGCCTCCGTTGGGGCAGAGATGGTGAGTCTTATTGGCACAATATCCCCAGTGCCCGGCGCACAGCGGCCATCGTTTAACGCCCACGGAATGAATGAGGACTCCTGTCCTCCCTCTTGGCGACACTCATTCACTGGCCCTCGCCTCCCTCTGCCCCGCAGACAGGCAAGGCCTTTCCCTCCTCCAACTTTGGGGGTCCTCCAGGACCAGCCACTCACCCCAAGACTGTGGCCGAAGCCGGTGCTGGGGGCGGGGCTGGCAGCACTGATGTAACTGCTGACCCCCGAGTCCTGGTTGGCTGCCCCATAGAGCTCAGCCATGGGGCCGGGGCTGGTGGTCCCCAGGAAGCCCCCTGTGCGGCTGGGGGTGGAACCTGGAGGGGGAGCCATCGTCCAGGGGTGAGAGCCTGGCAACCCAGAAAGAAGACAGTGATAGCCCTGGAGCCTTCACACGGTCGCACCCACCCTGACCGTGACCCCTCCCTCTGCCTCATCCCATCAGGGCCTGGGGGTCCACCTCCTGGAGGTCCCCCAAGTCCATCCACCCCACCAGCCCTAGCGCAGGCCCCATCATCTGTCGGACCACTCGGCGGCCTCCTCACTGATCTCTAGGCCTCCTTCCTGAGCCGCTTCACGCCTTTCCCTGCGTAGCCTGTGCGTTTTCTAAAGTCACGTCCCTCCACTGCTTAAACGCTCAGTGCCTTCCCAGGACCTGGCCCCGCCTCCCTCTTTCTCCCACACCCATTCCTGTACTCCGCACACAAAGCCTTTGCACATGCTGTTCCCCCTGCCGGGAACTCTGTTCCTCCTCTTTGCCTTCAAATTGAAAGTGAAGTCCTTCCTCCCAGATGCCTTCCTGAGGCCTGGGAGCACCTCTGTACCCGCCTCCCCCAGAGGAGCAGTATCCCCCTTCAGAATCACCGCCTTCTTAATGCTTGACGCCCCCCAGCCTTCAGGCTCTGAGGACAGAGAGCGGCCGGCCTTCCTCCTGGCTGGCTCGCCAGGTGCTCAGCTAACCCTTGATGAATAAATAGTAAACCCCTCTAAAAAGGGGTGGTGGTGGCTGCCTCCCCCCCTCTAGACTTCTCTGCCCCCTGCACCCCCTCCCTTGCTTCCTGCACCCCAGAAGGCCTTACCTGTTCCTCGAACCACAGCTGCTGCCGCCGCCGCCGCTGCCATTGGTCCGTAAGCGGTGAGAGGAATGGCTGGAAGGAAAGGGGCGGGCACTTCAGAGTGGCAGGTGAGGGGACAGACCTCACCCCACCGCAGGGGGCAGTGCAGCCCCAGGGTCAAGGCAGAAAGGGCTCCCTGAGGCCGCACCCGTGCCCTGCATGCCCTGACCGGCGGAATGGGTGGACACAGGTGGGAGAGAGGATGGCGGCCCAGCCCTCGGGTCAGCCTCTGCTCCCCCTGGACTCAAGGGACACACGGGAACCACCCCACACTCAGTGGGGGTGGGGGGGTGGGGAGGCACCTCAGCCTGAGCTGCTCTGAGCGTTGCCCACAGCTGCCCCTGCTCCAGTGTCCTTGGCCCAAAAGGAGCCCCCAGCCCAAAGGAAATGGGAGGTTTTGTCCCTCTTCCCAAGCTGGAGCCAGTGACTGACTGACACGGGCCTTTGCCTCAAGGTGCAGGTGACCGAGGTGCAGGCCCAGATCGCCCTGTGTGACCGGCTGAGCCCCAGTGCAGTGGAGGCCACACTTCTGCTCTGCTCCTTCTGCTGCCGGGCCTGTCCCTCTCCCCTCTCCTGAGAGCATGTCCTCCATAAACTGTGCATCCAATGTCTTGCCTCAGGGCCCCCCTGGCCACAGCCAGCCAGAAGCAAGCTCCGCCTCCCCCAAATCCTCTCAGCCCCTCCTCGGACCCCCTCCTCAGACACAGGGATCTTGCGATTCCCTTTGCTTGCAGTTGAGAGCCTGGCAACCCAGAAAGAAGACAGTGATAGCCCTGGAGCCTTCACACCGGTCACACCCACCCTGACCGTGACCCCTCCCTCTGCCTCATCCCATCAGGGCCTGGGGGTCCACCTCCTGGAGGTCCCCCAAGTCCATCCACCCCACCAGCCCTAGCGCAGCACCTCCACCTGCACCTCCACAGTGCCTAGCACCCTGCCTGGTACACAGCAGGTGTTTAATAAACGTCCACTGAAGGAGAAGGGACCACAGCGTAAAGAACAGGTTGGCTGGAGCCTGGAGTTCCCGGGACCAGGGTGAGCGCCCCCTGCTGCTTGGCTTTGTCACTGCAGCCCCAGAGAGGCTGCAACTCTGCCCAGAGCCAGGTCTGCAGAGTTGGCTTTTGCCCTCAGGAACATTGGTCTCCCATCCTAAGATGCGCCCCTTGGGGCTGTTTGAGTCACCCTAACCCTGAACTAGAACTGGGCCTGGGGCTAGGGATCCCTGAAAAGGCCCCTGAAATTCCTGGTGTGGCCATTGGGCTGGGAATTGAAGTCTGGGACAGAGCAGCTCCCACGTGTAGAGGAGGCTTGCTGAAGAGCTTCACATAGTCAGCTTCTTCTCACTCAGCTGTCACCTCCTCCGAGAAGCCTTCCCTGACCACTCTCACTACCGCCGCACCACATCTCCGTTTTGTCCTCCTGGGATGTCTCACCCTCTGAAAGTGTCTTATTTACTTGTTTGCTTGCTTATTGCTTCTCCGGCCACAGCTCCAGGAGGGAGGACCTTCTCTAACTCACTCACTCTGTATCTGCACAGCTTGGAACAGCATCTGACATGATGGATGTCTAGTAAATGCATAACCGAAACGCCCGCGTCTTCTGAAGGCAAGAGAAAAGTTCAGGCCCCAGACTTCTAGGATGGACCCCTCCCCGCCAAGACACCCGAGGGGGCGTTTCTCCCCTCTGTTCTTGGGGGGCAGGGGCTGGACTCTGAGGTCTGTTCTCAGGCACCTTCAGGTGTTCCCACAAGGCAACGCGTGTGGCCAGTCCGCGAACATGCTTCTCACCACTGAGCTCACTTGTCTACTAAGCATTTGTCTCCTCTCTGGACTGCAAGTTCTGTGACCGCAGGCCCGGCAGTGTCCCACACAGTAGGTCCGCAACACAGCAGTGTCCCACACAGTGGGTCCGCAACACAGCAGTGTCCCACACAGTGGGTCCGCAACACAGCGCTCCTCAATGAGAAAAGACCCCTTTCTGTCTCCCCCATTGCTGGTCAAACCCCGACTCCACTCAGGGAAGAGCCTCTATCACCCCCACCTTCAGGATTCTCTACTCCCTCCCCTTTCTACACCCCATGTTTCCCTTCCCCCTTCTCCACGTGGGGGGGCCCTTGAGCACCCCTTGGAAGGAAGGTCTCCTCGAAAGCAGCATCCATCCTCCACGCATGGCAGGTTGGGGGAGTCCGGGGTGCGGGGGGAGAAGCAGGTTGAGCAGAGAAACCCCTTGCAGCCCATCTCATCTGTAAGCGCCTTCCCTTCCCCTCGGCCTGGCCCCCAGCTCGGAGTTAAGCTGATGGGTCCACATGAAAGCGGCAGTCGGAGAAATGGCTAGTGGCCACTTGCCCCGAGTCCCCAGTGGGCACCCAGAGGCCTGGGTTTGCCCTGAATAGGTCTCCTTTGGCCCGCAGTGGTTCAAAAGTTTAGAATTTGTTGCCAACATTTGAAAATACAGTGGAACCTTGTTTCTCAAACATCTCGCTTCCTAACCTGACAACCCTTTGGTGCTGATACCTGTATGATCAACCACGCATCTCTCAAGTGACAAGCAAAGGAGAGAATGTTCGAACGAGTCAGTTTACCACTGTTAACATCTCAGGACATTGTGCTGTAAATATTTTCGTGTGTTTTTTTTTTTTTTGCTTTTGTTGCTGCTTATAATTATTGTGAAATTTTCATTTTTTACTATATACTTCCTCTCCTTTTTGTTAAATTTTCATTTCCATTTCACGTTCTTTTTGTTTTTAAAGTGTTCATTTATAGATTAGATATTCTAACAGACATGTACTGTACAGAAAAAAGGTTAAAACAGGGAATCCTTTGGGGGTCTGGAACGGATTAATTCAATTACATGATTGCTAAAAATGATTTGGTTTTTCAACAGCCTTCGGAACAAATGAAGTTTGAGAAACGAGGTTCCACTGTAATTGGAAAATTCATTCGAAAGCAAAGGCCGGGTTTCTGGCTTCTCTTGGAAAATGAGATCCAAATGGACTGGGTGTGCACCCCCTCCCCGCAGGGGTCAGCCGGGGCGTGGCGTGCAGGCGAGCCACCCGTTTGCCCAAGTCCCCACCTGGCCCGTTCTGCTCTGAGTCTGAGACCCTGGCTTCTTCACCACTGGGTCTCGGAGCCTGCATGGTGCGTGACATGGGAGGCGCTAGAGAAATATTTGCCAAATGGATGAATGAGTGACTTTGCCTCCATCTGCTGGGCTTGGCCCTATGCTCCACCCTAAAGGCCGTGTAGCCACACAGACTGGCCAGTGCCCAGGCATCTCCACAGCGGGAGGGCTGGCGGGCAGGAGAAAAGGGCCCCCCATCCCTCCCCCGGGGAAGGTTCCTGAGGCCTTCTCTTCCCCCCACGTGGCCTGCGAGGCGTACGAAATCCGAGCAACTGACCTGTGAGCTCGGGGAGGACTGGGGCGCTTGGGAGAGGGGTCCGCTCTACACGGAATTCTAAAATGAAACGTAAAACAGCTTAGGAAGGTGCAGGGGAGGCCCCTCGGGCATGGGCCGGGGGGACAAATGCACCCACAGGGACACTGGGTGGGGGGACAGGCCATGCACAGGACCCGAGAGCTGGGGATGGGGAGAGCACGGTCCCAGCAGGCCAGGGTGGGGGAGGAGACACAGACACACAGAGAGACAGACAGACGCAGAAAGAGTGAGGAGAGTTGCCACCTATACCCTGGGCACGGGCAAAGCTGGGCTGCCATTCCTGGTGTTTCTTTTTTTATATATATTTTTATTGACTTCAGAGAGGAAGGGAGAGGGAGAGACTCAGAAACATCAATGATGAAAATCACTGATTGGCTGCCTCCTGCACACCCCCTACTGGGGATGGAGCCAGCAACCCAGGCATGTGCCCTGACCAGGAATCGAACCATAACCTCCTGGTTCATGAGTCAAGGCTCAACCACTGAGCCAGTCTGGGAAGGAGGAGCTGGGGGAACAGCGTTGGTAAAGCCATGACCTAGAGCAGGTCAGGCTCAGGTGGGCTGCCCGCTCCAGAACTCTCTAGTCGAGTCACCTGAGCAAGCCGCCTCTCCCCTCTGAGCCCACTTCCTCACCTACACACGGGAGGTCAGCCCGCCCCCCGAGAGCGCTGTCAGGGTCAGACAGCGGGATGTGCACATGGGCCGCCCGAGGCCAGTGAGGCACGTGCTTCGGGACCCTCTAAAAATAAGGCCAAGAAAGCAAGAGCCTTGTAAAAATGTGATATTTCAAAGAAAACAACGCTGAAAAGTCATCGTGGGAGAGGTCCAAACTTGG